ATATATATATATATATATTTTAAAGATTTCGTACACCCAATGTGGGGCTCGAACTTACAACCCCGAGATCGAGTCACATGCTCTACTGACTGAGCCAGCCAGGTGCCCCAAAGTTTACATGTATTTTTTATTTTATTTATTGACTTAATTTTAAGAGAGAGAGAGCACAAGCCGGGGAGCGGCAGGCGGTGGGGAGGGAGAGAGAATGTTAAGCAGGCTCCACGCTCAGCATGGAGACCGAATCAGGGCTCAATCCCACGACTGTGGGATCATGACCTGAGCCGAAATCAGGAATCGGACGTTCAACTGACTGAGCCACCCAGGTGCCTTTACATGTAGTTTTTAAAGCAAGTGCTAAGGAGCCGGAGGGCAGCAGACTGCGTGAGGCCCTGCATCCTGGTTCTGCATGCCAGCTGAGGAGGAAGGCGCAAGGGGTGGGGGTGGGGGGTGGTCCGGGCAAGCACTCCAAGCGCTCAGGTGGCAAGCAGAGTCCCTGGCACGGGTCCCCGACGGGTGGGGCCCTGGCATCAGTCCCTCACCTCTGACCAGCTCCTTGCTTGGGCAGTAGGACTCGGCCAGGCCTACCTCCCTGGGCACAGCACCCGCGGGCCCCTATTTATGGTACACGATGAACTTGGGTCAGGGCTGGAACTGGGACCCCCCCTACCCCGTGCTCCTGACCATTTCTTTTTCCTGCATGCTAGTGTTTCTCCCACGTGTGTGTGTGTGTGTGTGTGTGTGTGTGTGTGTGTGTGTGTGTTTTCTTAAAGTAACACATGCATTTAGAATTCAGGGAACAAAATGAAAGAAATGAATGGCTTCTCATTTTCTCACCACCCCCACAGCTCAGCCTCCCTTGTTTGCTCCAAGCCACTCCCACCCCGGCTCACCCCCACCCCTGCTCCCCACCCCTCCCCCCCAGGGCCCAGCCACTTTCGGGGAGGACTCCCCAGGCTCCCTGCCTCTGCCCCTTACCGTCCACCTAGACCCGGCTGCTCTGGGGTGGGCGGTGGGCACGGACACGAGACGGTGCCTCCTTCCTGATGACGAAGGGGCCTGATGATCAGATCAGTGAGCCCATGTCAGGTCGCCAGTGCACCAAGACCCCAGAGGGGCACAGTGATGCAACTCGTCTCACCCACTGATCCCCAGTCAGGTGTGTTGAGAGGAGGGACTGACCCTGCCTGGGAGGGCAGCTACCCCACGGGCACTTGGCACCCAGGCAGAGACGCAAGTGAAGCCTAGCGGACCCAACATAGGGCCTGGGGGAGTGGCGAGCTTGACGCGGTGACACTCTGGAGTGGCTGGGGCAGAGTGAAGGCGCAGCGGGAGGCGAAGGGGAGCTGAGCTTGAGACATCCCAAGGACAGAGACGGGGCATGGCTTCTGGACGTGATGGCCCTCTATAGGCCTCTATCTGGTGCGGGAAAGGGGGCGACAAGGTGTGCTTGGCAACCACTGTGGTTTCTTGGATGCGAGAAGAGAGGAGAGGGAGGAAACGGTCCAACCCATGTGACGCAGTCTCCCCCTTTCCATTCATTTCTTCCCCGAGGTGACCTGCATTCACCCCCCTGTGGCCAGGTGGAGGATTGCTGAGGACTCTCACAGTCCCTAGAGAGCTCCCCCTTTGAGCCTCCTGCCCTAGGGCTCAGAGACACCCCTGTCACATGCAGTCTCGATAGCTTGGGAGGATACTGGGCCTTCCCCAGGACTCCACTTCAAGCCTGGCCCCCTGCCCCAGGGCTCTGTGGGTCCCCGTGGACTCCCACACCTTCCCCAGTGCCCTGAAGGTTCCGGGCCTCCACGTGCTATTGTGCCCCATCCCTAGCAGGCACCCGAGTGCTCTCTATTGCTCTGGGGGCCCTGATCCTAAGGCTGTTGATGGCTCCGTAGGGACCTGCTGGAGCACTGAGCTTCAAGGTCTCTACTTAGTGCTCTCTAGGACTCTGGGACTACCTCTGGGAAAGCTCCCACGGGCACCCGTCCTGAAGTTACCTAGGGCAGCTGGGGTTCCAGGATTCCAACTCCCAACAGCTCAGGTCATCCTCCTTCCCCCTCCAAGGGCTTGCGAGGTGGCCAGGGGCACGGTAGGGGGACAGTAGCTGCCCTCGGTCCAGGGCACAGCGGCTGTGCTGGTACAGGGATGTCAGCCCCGCTGGAAAGGAGAGGCCCCGGCAGGCAGGGGCTGCCAGACTGGGCACAGCAGCATCCCAGGACAGGGACAGAGAGGAGGGCCCTACAAACGTGGTCTGCAAGGAGGGCCCCTGAATGTCCAGGGGAAGAGGAGGACCGCACTGGAACAACATAGGACTGGGCCTGCCTTGACACGCCCACTGGACAGAGGCCAGCAGCTATGGCTAGAGAGGGCAGTGGCCAGGCTACTTGGTCCCAGTGCCTCCACGAGCATATACTACCCCAGGCCTTAAGACCCTAACAGATGGGAAAGTCGCACTACCTCCTCACTGTTCTGGAAAACGGTGGGCCTGCCACCCTAGGCACCCGGTGGCCAGTCCCGGGCGACACCGCCCTCTCAAGGCAGGCCGCACGCAGGTGAATAAAGTCAGGCCCCACCACTTCTGTGGGGCATGCTGGCCAGGGTCCCCGCAGGACAGCTCCAGAGCTGGGCTGAGCTGA